GCTCTTTCTTTAAATCTTTTTGTATTTACTCTCTTTAAGTTTGACTCTTGCTTAAGAAATAACAAATAAAAAGATGATTTCCTTCCAACAAGTTTTTGCCCCTTGTTTTCATAACTACGTTCAACCGTGGGTGTATTGCCACTTGTAGACTCAAATAACGTAGATGTCTAATGAATGGATCTAAACTGAAATTCAATAAATAATAATACGCTATTATACGAGCTAACATTACATGTTGACTACAATCCATGCCTTCAACGTCCATGTACGGTAAATGGTAATTGTGCGCAGCCCATATCTTTAAGACTGCAAGGATTAAATATACACCCAGTAATTGATCAATAGGGACCCTTCTATTTTTGGGCTTTCCCATAATTTAAGATAACTTTAGATACACACAAAAGCCTACCAGATATTCCTTTTTCAATGGGGTATGCCAGCCGGTTGAGCGGTTCAATTCACAGCCAAAACACGGAAAAGCCTTGGAGCTGTGTCTCAAACTGGACATGGCTTCAAAGGCTTCCACTGTCCACATTTTCACCTTATTCTTGATTTGCATTCCCTTTTCCAATTCAATTGACTTCAATTACCCTGCAGTGTTCAACTTTGGTGATTCAAATTCTGACACGGGTGGCCTTGTTGCTGGTGTGGGAGAATCCCTCCTTCCACCAAATGGACAAACTTACTTCAAAAAACCATCTGGCAGGTTCTGCGATGGCCGTTTGATCATAGATTTTTTAAGTAAGGGGCTGCATTTTTTGTTTCGTCCACTTCAGCTTCAACCATTTCCCCTGTTTCTCTGCTTTAAGGTAGTGTTTCTCCATTTTGCAGTGGATGCACTGGAACTTCCATATCTAAATCCTTACTTGGATTCCATCGGTGCGCCGAGTTTCAAAAGGGGATGTGATTTCGCGGTTGCTGCTTCTACCATACTTCCAGCGACAGCTAATGCTATTAGCCCATTTTCATTTGGGGTTCAAGTGGACCAGTTCATCAGATTCAAGAGCCGAGTTCTTGACCTTCAGCCCAAAGGTATGTTGAACAGATGCATATCTTCAAAGATAAGTTAAAATGATGTTTTGCATCTCAAGCTAGTACAAATACAAGTACTGAAGGACAATTTAATTGTGTAACGTAAATTTTGATTGACTCGATTGCAGGTAGGAAATCAGACAAGTATATTCCAGCAGCAGATGTTTTCCAGAAGGGGCTTTACACTTTCGATATAGGTCAGAATGATCTTGCTGGTGCCTTTTATTCGAAGACATACGATCAAATTATTGCTTCAATCCCAACCATTTTAGCAGAATTTGAAGCTGGCATTAAGGTTGGTAAAATGTAGACAACACACGCAAATGTTAGTTAATTTCTTCTGCATCAAGCTTGGCACACATAATTATGCCATGTACTAATATTATCATAGTTTTAGAACTATAATAAACTTGTAGTAACTAAGTTCTCATCCAAATGAGTAACATGATAAAAGTATCTGGAGAGTCTAGCTACTTTTTTTTTTTTTTTTTTTGTCGACCGGGGGTATCCCAGTCATTTCTGACCAGACTAATCCCCCAGGCTGGAAGAGCCCGCCCCAAGGATTCCAGCACGTTACGGGGGAGAGTCGAATACTGGACCTTGCTCCTAAAGAGGAGACGACAGGACTGGCCGAGCTAACCCCCGGGGGCGAGAGTCTAGCTACTTTGCACAACAAAAAACATATATATAAGATAACAACACGAATTTTATTCCTTAAAAATGCCAATAGTAATTCTATGTATATCATTCGTAATTGTCGTATAATCATATTGTAAATGATTTGTCGTATCTAAATGTGCCTCCTCCGTGGATTTTTTGTTTGCTTCGGCAGAAATTATATGATGAAGGAGCAAGGAATTTTTGGATTCACAACACGGGTCCTCTTGGTTGCTTAGCTCAAAATATTGCCAAATTTGGAACTGATCCATCCAAGCTTGACGAGCTTGGATGTGTCATCACCCACAATCAAGCTTCCAAACTTCTAAACCTCCAGCTTTATGCACTTTGCAAGAAGTTGCAAGGCCAATATTCAGACGCAAATGTTACACATGTTGATATATTCTCAATTAAATCCAATCTCATTGCCAACTACTCCAAATTCGGTCAGTACTTTTACACCCTTTATTTGCTTATATTTGCACATGATATTTTGCTCAACTTTAACTTGAATCCAAAGGTTTTAACTAACTTTTATTTCTTGATACAAAATTAAAAGAACTTCAACTTAAATATTTTATGTCTGGTACAATATAGATCGTGATTAGATTAGGGAAATTGAATGTGCAAATTTATTTGGGACATGTGTAGGCGGGCTTGATAGTTGATAGACGTGTTTCATCGGACGCAGTCCCAATCATTACTTGCCCATCATGCGGATTTATGTATTCTTAAGCAATCAGCAACCCTTTTAAGTACCAAAAAAAAAAAAAAGGTTTTCTTGGCTAGAGCAATAATAGAAAACAAAGAATGTGTGTAATCAGAGATTGTTCATTACTTGTTGAAATGCAATTAAGATGCCCATTTGAAGTCAAATTGTGAAATTCCTGTCACCTGTTTTAACTATTGGTTTTTGGATTCTTTATCGGCTTTAACAAGTTCTTGGCTCTATCATTTTGACCGTTAAATCACAAGCATAACCTACCAGTAAAGTTGGTTCAATTTAAACTTAACAATATTGGCATGATAGTCTAATGAATATTCTTTATGGTCTAGACAACACTGAAAACAGATTTTATCCTGCTTTTTTAGTTCCAAGTTTCAGTGACTCATTAATGGTAGGTTTCAGAATTTTAGGTGGAATGGACTAGTTGGTAGGCACTTGGTACTAGTACTACACTCTAGAAGTTCAAACCAATACAATCTGTCTTTGAATTGTGGAATCCCCACATCATTTGTTTGGACAATAACTTCTACTTCCTCCCTTCCATTTTATTTGTCACTGTCAGTTTGCACACAGTTTAAGAAATTTAATTTTTGATCAACTACTCCTTCCGTTCCACTTTAATAGTTCTATTTTTCTTTTTCGTCTGTTCCAAATTATAATCCACTTTCTAATTGAATAATGTAGTTGTTTTTTAATTTCTCAAAAATACCCTTATTCAATGTAAATTGTTATTATTATAAACTACCTTATTTAATATGGATTGTTAGTATTGAATATAACCTACTACATTTAATGCATTTAGATTTTCCATGACATATTGATATATGAAAAGTCAACTTTATTTAATGTAAGGGTATTTTAGAAAAATAGCAATCTAAATTTGTTTTTCCAACAAAGTTAACTATTTTTTCTTAAACTTTGTGAAAAAAAAAAAATAGGACTATCAAAATGGGACAGATGGAGTATTAAAAAAGTCTTTCCATGATTAGCTCTTAACTTAAATTCAAAACGTTGTTAGTTGTTTTGAATTTTACATTAGTTTGTTAGAACATTTAATGTTGAAACATAAGTTTACTGCTCTTTTTGGAAATTGAATGAAGCGTAAAATAGGGAGGTTATTCTTTTTTGCATTTTCCTTTTAAGACCATGACAAATAATTTGGAAAAAATCAAACTAGAAATCAAGACTAATAAAATGGGGCGGAGGGAGTATTAAATAGGAAGTAATCTGTGGTGAATAGCGTCAAGAATTATGAATATGTAGTATTTTCATAACAAAGTTCTGCAGCATAAAGAAATTTGATTGCGTGACCGCATTAAACTTGCAGGATTTGAACAACCTATAATGGTTTGCTGTGGAACTGGAGGTCCACCATTGAACTATGACAGTCGGATAACCTGTGGCCAAACCAAGGTTCTGAATGGAACATCAGTGACAGTGAAAGCATGCAATGATAGTACTGAATATGTAAACTGGGATGGAATTCATTACACTGAAGCTGCAAATCATTTTGTGGCTTCCCAAATTCTCACTGGAAAATATTCTGATCCACCCTTTGCGGATCAGATGCCCTTCCTACTTAAACTCAAGTTTTGAGATCCAACAAAAAAAAAATGAAGCTAAGATATGCTTCTCATTTTTTTTCTGTAATGAAACTAAATTTATTGAAGAATCTGAAATAAAGAAAGTCATTTTCTCAATGGAAGGGAAGTTCGAAGCGAAGAAAAAAAAAAAAGAATTTAAGTGTTTGCTTGACTACGGTGTTGTTCCATGAAAAGCATCAATAAAGTTGCGAAAAAAAGTGGGAGTATTGTGACGGACAGGGTCTTAGTAAAAGTTGCTCCCTCTTTTCCATAGAGATTATCACTATTGACTTGTTTCAGGTGAAATGGTCTCTTGGAATTATGGTCTCTTATTAGTACCTCTAGTAATTCAATGTAAAAATTGAGTAGCCTGCTGAAATTCCTAACTAGAATTGACACATAGAAACTTGCATGCTTCAAAATTTGCCAAGGAGTGTACGCAAAATGCTGCTCCATAAAAATCAAGTTTGAAAAGCATTCGAAATTGGAAAGAGTTCCAAGTTCCAACTGTAGCAACCACTGTGATGAAGAGTGCAATTGATATCTTGCAGACTTCACATAATTACAGAAGAGCAAGAGAAGAAGAAAATAAAGAAATGTTAGAGAGGTGGATTCACTCACTTTGTCACTTTTCAATGACCATTTTGTACAATATCTTTATACCTCTTTGCTCAGCTATGAGCAAAATAAGAATCCAACTAAAACTACAAATTGAGATCAGTTCATTTCTTGGAGACATAAGCATAGTATTGAGCCATGGGAACAACAAATGCGATCACTAATAAACCTCCAACAACAAGTGTGAATTGCCCTCTTTTCTCCTCAGTTTCCTCCCTGGATTTGAAGTTAGATTCTCTTTTGTTCTCCTTGAATTTGGGGCCACCAGGGTCAGGGAGCCCATCAATTGCAGAAACCAGACGCTTGGCAGTGCTGTATACTGCTTCATTGTATTTCTCGTCAGTTGCTAGCACTACAGAAAGGAAAAAAACATGCTCATAGTTAGCAGGCTCTTAACTGCTTGGCAGTTGGCATGACAAATAAAAAGCTGTCCTTCATGCATCGTTTAGCTTATCCTCCGTTCTAGATATTGGTTATTTTGACTAGAGAACAGCAGAAACATAGGCAACAATTTTAGGGCAATGTTCATCCCTGAGACACACTCCAGACGTTGCATACCCCAGATGAAGCCCATAACTAAACCCAAGTATGCATGCAATCGCGGTTTCTGTCTCCTGAACTTGACCCTTTTATCTGCAGCTACTAACTTAGTTGAAGAATGGGTACACAATGGAGCTTCTTCGTTTGGTTCTCTAATTGAAATAACCCAAATAAACAAAGAGAGATGGAAAATAGGTTTGACAATGTATTTTCGACTGAAGGATCTTTACTGCTTAAGCCAGTATGTGCACATTGTCTTACCTCAGACTCAGATAAGCTGGACCTTAATTTCTGAAAGTTTCCCAAACTTCCAGGGATTTCCTTTACAAATCCCTTTAAGATTCTTATGTTATTTCGTTTGGATTGAACATGTCGAAGAAATGGTTCCTGCTTCGACCGGGGAGTGGGATGAGGCACAGAGAAGTATATTTGACAGGTGTATTTTGGATCCAGAGATGTAATGTCCTACTTTCTAATCGAATTGGCACATAAACTAGTATTTCCAAGCAAAATGAAGACATGATCACCTATTGGAAAGCTTTTGCCATAAATAATAGGAGTCCTACAATAATCTCTGATACAAGCAGTGGTGTTGAGGCCATATCCACAGTATAAGACTTGAAACCTAGCTCATCTACGGCATCAAACTTGGACATCTATTCTAAACAATCAAATATAGGCACAATCAAGATGAAGTTTATTAATTGTGTTTGGTAAATTAATACTATATAGATTCAGGATGTAATAGGAAAATAATATTCTGGTTTCTGTCTGATAACATGTCTGTGGTAAAATAATGCCTTTTGGCAGAATGTTCTCATTCCTACATTTTCTTTGTTGTAAGAAATGAAAGTCTTTCTCCACTTTTTGTTAACCAAGAAACATGAACATTTTGGTTTGAAGGTTGCCCCAGTATTTTTAGTTTACATACACAATGGCAATAATAGCAGAAGCTACACTGCTACCAGCAAAAACAAGTGCAGTGAAAGTAAAGTGAACCAAAAGAAGAAGAAAGAAGAACTATACCTGGAAGATTTTCAGAGACAGTGGCATCAAGAACAGTATCACCAACAGCCTGAATAAATTCAGGGCCTCCAGTAATTGCACCTTCCTTTTGACTGGTGACAAGAACAACTATCCCCTTATTATTGCCTTCTTCAAGAGAAGGGTACCAACGTTCTAAAACTTGGTCAGCATACTCAAAAGCATCAGCTTTGCTCTACAACCAAAGAACATGAACAATTACAAACCTTTCCCTTAACAGCATCCGGTATTAGTTGAACTGTTAAGGTTTGAATTTCACCATAGCACCTAAAATAGTTTGCATGCAATACATGTTAAAGGAAATGTTCCAGCTCTGATGGTATATTGTAGATTACTTCTAGTCTAGTAAAATTGTTGCAAATTCAACATATTTGGTACTTCATATTAAACCTTTCTCGTTCTCATTTTAGTTCCCCGTGCAAAATATATGCACGGTGCATGAACTGCATTATCTCAAGGAAACTTGGAAGTGGAGGTCAAAAGAATCTAAAGTACTAAACAAAAATGAAACATAGGAGACTAATCTTTGACAAGTCCGGATTCTGGCAAACACCAAGGAAGCAATATTCCAACCGTCTCTAATCCTTGTTTGACACAAGAGACATAGACGTGGAGTATTCCAAGTCTTAATAAATTGGTGAAGTAATTCAGCATCACACAAGACAAACAAGGAGCAATTCATGGTGAAAGACAGCAAATTAGTTCACACAAAAAAAATCCATTTTATGTCTTCCAAAAGGGGAAAAGAAAAAGGATATTCAAAATGATGAAATTAAGGGAAAGGCAGAGTAAAAAGGTTTACAGTGAGTTTTCGGACAGTGATGACATTAATGTGGTACCCTTTTCTTGATTCAAGATCAGATAACAATCTTTTCAAGTCGGATTTTGTGAGCCTGCTAAGAACATTAGCATCATCAACCACATATGATTCTGTTGGTGGACGGTCATTTAGTACATCAAATTCAGATGCAAATGCAGAGTGAGTAGGTAAGATTGGGCAGTAACTGAGTGCAAGAGAAATTGCTAGAGCTGCAAGACCTTGCTGGACATGAGAAAGCCAATTTGTAGGAGATGAAGAAGATTGTTTATCACTAACAGATAACTGAGTTGGTTGTTTCTCGAGGCAAGAGCAAATGGTACTGCTACTTTTACCGAGTACTAGGGAAGTTGGTTTGGATTGAAGGGATGAAATCTTGGGGTTGAAGAGCGGGCAGAATGAAGAAGGGGAGAGGATGGTTTCCATGGCAGGGGGAAACTAAAACGGCAACAGATCAGGATTGGTGGGATATGAAAGCGAAGAATTTGGACATTGGAAGTTGGAAACAGAAAGTGATTTTCCTTCTCTTGCTCAGATAGTTTTCTGATGAATTTTTGGGGTTCATATTTTTGAGTGGCTTGAATTCTTGGCTGGATTTGAATCAGATAACGTTCTAATTTCTGAACCATGGAAAAAGGATAGGGGCCTTTTGGACTAATAACATACACTGTTTTGGCGGGTATACAACATACACTGTTTTGGCGGGTATGGCTTGGAAGAATTCCTAAATCAAACCTGTCTTGATGGCTAAAATACAAATGAAATACCTAAAATTGAGCAAGTGATTGTCTGAATTCTTTATAGTTGAACACTGAAAAATATTTATATAGTCATGACTTAAGGACTCAACATGCTCTTGCTGGACTAATAGGTATAGCAATGACATTCCTTGGGGCAAAAATACTCTCAAGTTGCCAAAGTTTCTTTCAGCTACTATTACTAATTAACTTTAGGAGCTATTCCAATATGATTTTAAATAAATTGTTTTAATTAAAAAAATCTCGAAATGTGGTTAAAGTGTTTTCGCAATTGGAAATAAAGACATGCACAGAATATTCGAACACAAAAATTGAGAGTGGTATAATTTATTTGACAAAAAAAAAAAAAGAGAGGTATAATTGATTCACATATAACAAATATTTGAAGTTGGAATTTGGTTTCAAATCATAACAAATATACTACCATATCCCAAAACAAGAAGGGGTTAAGTCTGAACTCTGGATGACAACAAAGCTGTAGAAAATCTAAAAAGCCTGTCTAATAAATTTGGTAACTTTTCATTGTATTGTCTATGGAACATGTTATTGCCTTTTCTTCATCTTTGTGCTATAGCCATAAAATAAAACAACACAAGCAAAACAAATAAACGCTATTATAGTCTCAGAAACATTATGAGTTTGGAATCATATATAATGTAGAAGATTCAAATTGTCCAACAGTTTGAAATTCTAAAAGGCTTCGTGCGAAAAATTGAGGAATAAGAATAGTTGATTAACTTTAGATTAGGAATTTAATCAAATTGTTTAGTTATATTCAAATATCAATAGTCCAAAGGGCTAATTCTATTTTGCACCCTAAATTTATATCACTTTCCCATTTTTATACCCTAAAGTTTAGTTCTGAACACTTTACACCCCAAATTCCCAAAATTAGACACTTTGCTCCTTGAACTTTCAAATTTATCATGCTTAAATCCAAATAGTAAAAACTTAGAAAAATTAAGTGCATAGAGGATATAAGAAATCAATGATAATATGCCGAAAATGGTCAAAAGGTACCACGGTATCGTAGTTAAAAAAAAAAAAAGATACTTTGGCATTAACTTGCACCATTATTTATCTCGTTAATTTTACTAACAATATTAGTAATTAAAGCCATACATTGTCATTAATTTTTACAATCCTTTATCTGGTTAATTTTGCAAACGTAGCTATTGATTGGATTTAAATGGGACAAATTTGACAGTTAGGATGCAAAATGTTTAAAATTAAAATTAAAATTATAAAGTGAAAAGGTGATATAAGGTGGCGTTTGGTTCACACCTTGGAATTGGATTTGGGTTTGAAATCATTCATTCTGAGTTTGGAATGAGTCAGTCATTCCAATATATCTGTTTGAGTATATCATTACTATAGTTGATGTTTGGTTCATTGGCTCTTTCAAAATAGGATATAAGAAATTTTCACTAATTAAATGTATTATTATAAATGTATTAGTAAATTTAGTATAACTAATTAATAATTTCTATTAGTAAATATATATAATTATTAGTATAATTGATAATATCAATTATATTACATATATTAATATATATTATATAATACATATAACTAATAATTATCCTTATTATAAGTTTGTAACTAATTAAATTAAATATTATATATATAATTATAATTATAATTATCTAATATATATAAATATTAATTATAATGTATATTATATATTAAATATAATAATTATTATATTTTATTATATTTATAATAATAAATATAAATATATACTCCCTCCGTCCCATTGTTAATGCATGTTTCACCTTTTTCATTGTCCCAAAATTAGAGTCACGCTACACTATTTTCCTTCTAATGTTCCGTCCTTGCCCTCATAGTGCATGTGCTAGAAAATCCAAATAAATTTGGTGGGACCTTCTATTTATTATCCATTTGGAAAAGTCAGAGGAGTACGTGAGACTAACTCTCACTTTATAAGGCCAATAATAGCGCGTGTCTCTAACATACAAAGGGATGCTTTTGGTTAAGATGGGACCCACGAAATCATTACTCCATGAAAAACACAAAGTGCAGCTGACCATTGTACTTGCGACGGGGTAAATTTGGAACAAAGGCTTGACTGTCAATAATGATACCAATGTATATAAAAAGTTGCATTCCCTATAAACGTCTCTTATATTGGGACGGAGGGAGTAATATATTATTATTATATACACATATAATATATTATAATTACATGCAATGCATTTGGTATTTCTGTGCATACTTCTCTTTTTATTATTTCTTCTAATTCTAAAATTCCTTTTTGCATAGTTGTTTATTTTAATTGTTCTTCTATTTTTAAATATGATTTTTCTTCTTTAAAATAATTGATTTGTTGTTTAACATGTTGAATAGTATTTATTGTTTTATAGATAGAAGATGATTGTAATACTAGTAATTCTTTTTGTTTTATTGGTGTTAGAAATTTAAAAGTTATTGTTTTTTCCATAATATTTGTGTGAACTCCTTCACTATTTACAGCAAAAGGATATATTTGAATAAAGAAGGGTGTTCCTAAAATTATATCTATGTGAATATTTTTTACTATAATAAAATTATGTCTTATACAATAATTATTATTGCATATTGATCCCGTAGTAAATTTATATTTTACTTGTAATTTTTCTCCATTTGCAGTTCTTAATTTTTCATTTGTGCTTTCTCAATACTTTGTTGGGATTATCCTTCTTTTATACAACTCTGATCTACTCCACTATCTAATAATGCTACAAATATTTTCTTAAAATCTTCTACCATTACTATTACTAAAGCATACCATCTTTGAAATGTTATTCTCTCAATTATATTTAAATATTATTTTTCATCTAATGGGTTTGCAGAAATAACTATTTCATTTGTTTTTGATGTAGAGAGTTGATCTATAGGTTGATGTTTTATTAATGATATTCTTGCTTCGATTTTTAAGTAAACATGTATAATTATTAGTATAATTGATAATATCAATTATATTACATATACTAATATGCATTATATAATATATACAACTAATAATATCATTATTATAAGTTTGTAGCTAATTAAATTAAATATTATATATAACTGAATATAATTATACAAATATTATAATATAAATATATAATTATAATATATTAAATATAATTATTATATATTATTATTTTATAATAATAAATACAAATATAATTATATAATGCATTATTATTATATACACATATAATATATTATAATTATGTGCACATATAATATAAATTTATAAATATATTTATAAATAATATAAATATATTATTATACAATATTAACAAATTCATAATATATATTATAACAATATAATTATATTTAATTAAATAATTATAATATATATAATATATTATGTATGTGTATATAATAATTATATTTATATTTATTATTATAAATATATTATAATAAGTATACTAATATTATAATTAAATATATAATTATAATTAAATATTATAATTATATAATATATATGATATATATAATTATATAAATATGTATATAATTATATATTAATTTTTTAACGGATGGCCGGACGAGCCTCGTTTCTAAACAGGAATCAGATTTGGATTTTTTTAAAAACTCTCCAGGTTATTAGGGAATTGGGGAACTCCAAATTTTTATATATGATTCCAAAATTTCAATTCTGATAGTAGTAATCCAAACAATAATTATGAAATTTATTTTAATTTTTCATTTCGAAACCTCTTACCAAACGCATTTAAGTTTTGGAGTATAAATTGGAATTTGTCATTGTCCAAATATGTCTCCAAAACCGTCAAATTTACTTTGCGTGCAATCTCGCTATTTTCCCTCTTTATAATTTTCTCCACATCCTGAATTCCATTTTTTGAAATTACCACCAACCCCCTAAGCGCAAAAGATTCCCACAGATAAAATCCCCAAGAACTGTCCCACATTATCTATTCCCCACATCACCAGCCATGAATCCCACTCCCTGTCTCCATCCCCATCGTCTCCACCATCTTTCATGGCCATGTCCACTTTCCTCCTCTCCCTCTTTCCGAAACCCCCTCAAAACCCCATTTCAAGAAAGCCCATTTCACCTCTCAAGCACCCCAGCATTCTTATCTCAAGGAGGCTTGGTATTATTTTCACTACCACTTCACTGAGCTCTGTCCTCTCCTTGGTCCTTCAATGCCCTCAAATCCCCCCATCTTCTGCTGCTGAAGCATCATCAACTTCTTTTCTATCAGGAATTGCCAATACCAAATCTTGGTTTCAGTTCTATGGCGATGGATTTGCCATCCGGGTCCCACCTCAGTTTGAAGACATCTTGGAGCCTGAGGTTTGGAACCAATTCTTTTAAGCTTGTTCTTTTTTAAATATTTGTTTAGTAATTCATTGGTATTATTGGACTGATGTCACAGTTTGGTAAGCTGCATTTGTGTAACATTTTTTGGTATTTAGTGAAACTCTCCATTTTTTTAAAAAGCTAGATTAGATCCATTAGGGAACTTTCTTCTCAT